GTCTCTTGGGCTCCTCTTGTGAGGCTTTTGGAGCGCTCTTGGGGCCGTATTGGAGCATTATTGGGCCTCTCTTGGGGCCCTCAGGGCCTTTCTTGGAGCTGCCTTGAGGCCTTGGAAGGCCATCGGAAACCAAAAGGCCAGAAGGCTTGCCTTAGGTGTTTGAAGGATTTGGGCCTCTTGGCGGCCTCCTGGGGAGGTTCCGTGCCCACGTGGGGCCGTCGTGGAGCGGTCGTGGGGCTTCGTGGAGCATCGTGGGAGCGATAGTGAACCATCTTGGGCTACTTTGGGCCGTCTTGGAAGTCATCTTGGGCTTTCTGAGGCCCTCTTGGAGCCGTATTGGGCCACCTTAAATGCTCTGACCCGCTCGCGAGGCTCCCCGTCCAGGTCCAGGGGAGGGGGTAGGGGGAGGGGTCAAGCCACCCACCCGCCCGCAAGCCGTTTATCTCACTCCCACCCGCCCCCCCCCAAAACATAAAGTAACACCCGAGCCTGAGCATGTTCAGCGGTCGTCTTTGGATGGACAGCTACTGGGAAAGCCGACCCCAGATGCGCGACGCAGGGGAGAGGTACCCCACACGTCCCAGGCGCGCCACGCGCGCCAGGCACCCCTGGGGCCCGAGCGTGCCAGGCACGCGTGGTGCGCCAGGTGCGCCACGTACTCCGAGTGCGCCAGGTGCGCCGCACACTCCAGCCGCGCCAAGTGCACCATGTTCGGGACACGTGTAGAGTGCGTCAGGTGCGCCTGCGCACGTGACAGCACACATCGAGAACCATGTCGGCCCCCGCCATCCTTGTCGAAAACCAATGCCCATCATTGTGTCTGGTGGGCCTGCGCACAGCAGGCCACGCGCCACCACCCCCGCCGCCCCTGTCAAACACCATTTGACAGTGATCGCGGGGTGGCCGCGCATGATCCAGATTTAGCCGCGAGGTGCATCTTGTATTTTTTGTCAGGGACGGTAGCCCTGCGCACGGCACCCCCGCAGCCCTTGTCAAAAAACATCACAAAGTGTTCGCGGGCCTCACAAACATGACCCAAGACCTTGCCCCAAAGTGTACTTTGCATTGTTTTTGTTGCAGGGATGGTGGGGGGGGGCTCATGGTGTCGGCATGGTTCCTGGTTGGACGCTTGCCGGTTGGGGGAGGGGGTGTATATCAATAAGGAACAGTGATCAAGACACTTTTCGAGATAGCAAGCCGTTTAGCTCATTCCCACCCACCCTCCCAAAACATCTAGTAACACCCGAGCCTGAGCATGGTCAGCAGTCGTCTTCGGATGGACAGCTACTGGGAACCAATACCGACCCCATGTGCGCGACGCTGAGGAGAGGACGCCACGCGTCCCAGGCGCGCCACGCGCGCCAGGCACCCTTGGGGCCGAAGCGTGCCAGGCACGCCTGGTGCGCCAGATGGGCCACGTGCTCCGAGTGCGCCAGGTGTGCCGCTCACTCCAGCCACGCCAGGTGCGCCATGACCTGGGGCACGTGCAGAGTGCGTCAGGTGCGCCTGCGCACGTGACAGCACACATCGAGAACAGTGTCGGCCCCCGCCATCCTTGTGGAAAACCCATGCCCATCATTGTGTCTGGTGGGCCTGCGCACAGCAGGCCACGCGCCACCACCCCCGCCGCCCCTGTCAAACACCATTTGACGGTGATCGCGGGGTAGCCGCGCATGATCCAAATTTAGCCGCGAAGTGCATGTTGTTTTGTTCCCAACCCTCCTGTGCGTTGGGTCCTCGTTTTGAATTCGCAGCGCCGCGCGTCTCCTTCCTCCCTTCCTTCCTCCTCCCCCTCCTCCCTCCTCTCCCCTTCCCCTGCGCTCCTCCTTCCACGTCATCCTCAACCCATTCTCCCCTCTCCCCATCACCATCATCATCACCATCACCAGCATCATCATCACCATCACCATCGCCACCACCATTATCATTCTCGTCACCGTTTCGGCGCACCCCTCACACGTTTCGTGGCCACATAGGGAGCTTCACCAAAGGCTCCAGTGGCTGCGTCCGCATGGTGACTCGGGTCCCTTCTGGCACATTCCTCACACGCTTCGTGGCCCCATAGGGAGCTCCCCAGAAGGCCCCAGTGGCTGCGTCCGCATGGTGATTCGGGTCCCTTCGGGCGCGCCCCTCACACGTTTCGTGGCCCCATAAGGAGCTTCACCGAAGGCCCCAGTGGCTGCGTCCGCATGGTGGCTCGGAACCCTTCTGGCACCCCCCATCGCACGTGTCGTGGCTCCGTAGGGAGCTCCCCAGAAGGCCCCAGTGGCTGCGTCCGCATGGTGGCTCGGGTCCTTCCAAGCACACCTCTCACACGCTTCGTGGCCTCATAGGGAGCCCCACCGAAGGCCCCAGTGGCTGCGTCCGCATGGTGGCTCGGGTCCTTTCTGGCACACCTCTCACACGCTTCGTGGCCCCATAGGGAGCCCCACCGAAGGCCCCAGTGGCTGCGTCCGCATGGTGACTCGGGTCCCTTCTGGCACCCCCCATCGCACGTGTCGTGGCTCCGTAGGGAGCTCCCCAGAAGGCCCCAGTGGCTGCGTCCGCATGGTGGCTCGGGTCCTTCCAAGCACACCTCTCACACGCTTCGTGGCCCCATAGGGAGCCCCACCGAAGGCCCCTGTGTCTGCGTCCGCATGGTGGCTCGGGTCCTTTCTGGCACACCCCTCACACGCTTCGTGGCCCCATAGGGAGCTCCCCAGAAGGCCCCAGTGGCTGCGTCCGCATGGTGGCTCGGGTCCCTTCGGGAGCGCCCCTCACGCGTTTCGTGGCCCCATAAGGAGCTTCTCCGAAGGCCCCAGTGGCTGCGTCCGCATGGTGACTCGGAACCCTTCTGGCACCCCCCATCGCACGCGTCGTGGCTCCGTAGGGAACTCCCCAGAAGGCCCCAGTGGCTGCGTCCGCATGGTGGCTCGGGTCCTTTCTGGCACACCTCTCACACGCTTCGTGGCCCCATAGGAGCCCCACCGAAGGCCCCAGTGGCTGCGTCCGCATGGTGGCTCGGGTCCTTTCTGGCACACCCCTCACACGGTTCGTGGCCCCATAGGGAGCTCCCCAGAAGGCCCCAGTGGCTGCGTCCGCATGGTGGCTCGGGTCCATTCTTCTGGCACACCTTCCACACGTTTCGTGGCCCCATAGGGAGCCCCACCGAAGGCCCCAGTGGCTGCGCCCGCACGGTGACTCGGGTCCCTCCTGGCACACCCCTCACACTTCATGGCCCCATAAGGAGCCCCACCGAAGGCCCCAGCGGTTGCGTCCGCATGGTGGCTCGGGTCCTTCCTGGCGCACCCCCCACGAGCATGGCGCATGATCCGCAACGCGGTTTGGTTCAGAAGTGAGACTGCCCATGATCCCTCCTCCTGCTCCCACTGGCCTCGCCGTTCTGCTCCGCGCCGCAAGCACTGCCAACTTCTGCGTGTGAATTGAGTCGCGCGGCTGCGTGCTGAGCCGGGTCCGATTTCCTCTGGCGAAATTTTCGGGGGAATTGCGACCCCCCCCGCAAAACAAATATTGTGCCGCGAGTGGTCTTGTTGATACCTTTCACGCGTGTAGAATGGGTTAGGTTTTTCGCCCGGGTAATTTTTCTCAGGGATGATAGCCCTGCGCACAGCAGGCAATATGCTGACATCCGCGCCGTCCTTGTCAAAAACTATACAAAGTGTTCGCGGGCCTCACGAACATGATTCAAGACTTTGCCCCAAAGTGTACTTTGCATTGTTCTTTTGACAGGGATGGTGGGGGGCGGCCGCATCGGGTTGGCCGCGCATGCTCCAAATGTGGAGGCAGAGTGCGTTTTGCATTTTCTGACAGGGGTGGTGGGGGGTGTCCACATGGTGTCCTCATGGTTCCTGGCTGTCTGCCGGTCGCCTGGGGGAAGGGGTCTATATTCATAGGGAACAGTGATAAACCCCTCCCCGAAGGGGAAGAAGGGGGTTGGAAAAGGAGCCTCCCTAGACCACCTACGCCCAGAGGGCTGGTGGGACTTTATCAACGCATAGACATGACATTCAAGGTTGCGTGGCACATGCGTCCGCGTCATTGTGCTGGTGTCTTGCGTTCGCTCGCAGCCGATCTTCGAGAGCATGCAGATCGCGGAGGGCAGGGCGCTCGTGCCCAACAGCACGTGTATTCCTCAGCGTAGCCTTGCTGATCCTGCTCCTGCGGCGGCGGTGGCGGTGTCTCAGGTCGGGCTGATCACTTCCATCCCACAGGCATTCAAACAGCCCCAAGACATCTATGACACGCAATTGTGTTCATTCCAGTCGTTGGTCGACGCCTGCAGCTGCAAAGTCTTCTCGAACAGGAAGCACAGGAACGGATTTCGTCCGGGGCGGAGGCGGAGGCGGCGAGAGATGAGCCCGATCCAGATGCGGATGCGTCTCAATCGCCATCTTCCTCGGACCGCGCGAACTCCGATTCGAGCTTGGACGCGACCGAAAACCGCACGGACGACATTGAGGCGCACCTGCAGTCCGTCAGCGATCGGACCCCGACTCCCAAGAACATCCTGTTTTTTTTCAAGATGAGGATCATCGAGGTGGTAAGAACACCGAGTTAGGTGCAACAATTGTTCGGGGAATTGTGCAGCAGCTACACGGATGGAGGCGGCTTCTTTTCAGATCGGGGGTATCGTTTGAGATTTCTTGGGGCTTCATAGCCAAACGTTCGAACTTGGATGCAACGGGCACGGGGTGAGAGCGGCTCTTTTTCAATGCGGGGTTCTCACTGGATCTCGCTTGGTTTTGTGATCCTACTTCGTCGCCGTCCTTACAGGTAGGAGCATAAATGGCAGCTCCTTTTCAAAATCGGGCTCTCGCCTGAAATGCAGGACTATGGGGCGCTCGTCTTGCAAGGGTGCATTCCCCGCATCGATAAGGATGTCCTTTTTAGGGTTTTTGGAGGAGAGGCTTGGGACGGGCGGGCTTATGTATTGAAGCATCGTTGAGGCGGCTTGGAATTACTCTGGTCTTTCCTCCAACGACGACGACGACGCTTGCCAGGAGCGCGAAGCCTTCGAGTGGCTCATCGCGACATCGAAGGCCCCGCAGCCGTCGTTCGTGGCTGGCGTCGACGTTTATCCTCATCGTCGTCGTCGTTCATCGTTGTCGTCGTCGTTCCTCGTTGCCTTGGCCGTTCCTCGTCATTCTCCGTCGCCGTCGATCATCATCGTCGTCGTCGTTCCTCGTTAGCGTTGTAGTCGTTCCTCGTCATTCCTCGCCGCCGTCGATCATCGTCGCCGTCATTTGTCAATCCTCGTCTCCTCGTGTATGCGTCCTTGTCGTGGTCGTTTTGTCGGTCCTCGTCGCCGATCGTCATCAACGTGTGCCGACCCTCGTCGTCGTCATCGATCGTCGTGGTCGTCGTCGATCCTCGTTGTCGTCGTCCTTCCTTCCTCGTCGTGCCTTGCTGTCGCCGTCCTCGCCCATCCTCGCCGTCGCTCCTCGTCGTCGCTCCTCGTCGCAGGCGCCGTTCTCCGCCGCCGCTCGGTCCTCGCGCTGCATGGCGCCGAGAGGCCCCGCCGAGCCCTGGCCTCGCGTCCTGGCTGCAGTCGCGCGCGGAGGCGCAGAGCAGGCCGCGAGTGCCTCGCCCCGCGCGCCGCCGCCGACGGCGCCGCCGACGGCGCTGACGACGCCGCCGCAGACGACGACGACGACGACGACGACGACGACGACGACGACGACGACGACGACAACGGCGTTTCGGAGGTTGTTGGTGAGTTTCTGGAGGTTCTCGTCGCCACGGCTGGGTGCGGCCCCTCTAGGGGACCAGCACAGAGTTCTTTCGGAAGGCGGTGGCAGAAGAGGAGACCCCATCCCCCTCCTCAGCAAGTATGCCATATGTGTAAATACACGTGCATGCAGGCATACATACAGACCTGCCGACCCACCGACCGACCTGTCTACATATATGTATATACATACATACGTGCTATGTTCGCCCTTCTCCCCTGCCTCTGTTTGGAAATTGCCCCGCCCGTTCCGCATATCGTGTGTTTATTGCACGCAGGAGTTCAATAGTTGGTTTTCTCGGTGATGCTATGTATAATCCAGTCGCGTCTGGTACCTCAATGTGGTGTTGCCGTTGCAGCGCGGGCCTCAGGTTAGAATCGGTGCTTTGCCCCCGTCGTTCAGAACACTTTTCTGGATCCGAGTCCTCCCTCATCGTTGTCGCCCCGTTCCTTCTTTCTCCTGCGCCTTCCCGTGGTCTTCCTGCTCCTGCCGCTCCTTCCATTCCAGCTCCTACTGCTGCTGCTGCTGCTGTTCGTCCTCGTCCTCCTCCTTCCTCATCCTCCTGTTCCTCCTGCCCGTCCTCCCGCTTATCCGCCACTTCCTGTTTCAATGTGCACCGCTCTCCCGTTTCCAATTGCACAACACGATGAGGTCACGTTTGAAATTCCAGGTCTGCTGTGGCACGCGTCGGCGGATAGAGAAACAATCAGCGCAATGAGAGGGGTGGGTTGGAGAAACAGGATGTCAGATATGACTCGGGGGTAGCTAGATTGCCCACCTCCCCTCTTGATCCTCCTCATCATCCTCCTACTCCTCCTCTTCCTCCTCGCCATCATCATCACCATCACCAGCACCAGCACCATCATCATAACACCATAGTCAACAAAAGCATCGTCGCTACCATCACCCTGGCCCGTCAGCACCCCTCTCATTCTCCTTCTCGTCATCGTCCCTCCTCTACCTCGTCCTCGTGCCGCATCCCGTCCTCACCTCATGTTTTCCCCAGGACCCAGACGGACCTCGGGTCCCTGCTCATCGGCATTTTGGCGGGGCCCCCAGTCAGTCCCGGCGTCGATGCGCGGTGATTTGACGAGTGAGAGCATCAGGGGGACGAGGATGAGCGGAAGCAGCAAGGGGGGGAGGGGGAGGGAGGGATGAGGAGGAGAGGAGGAGGAGGAGGAGGAGGAGGAGGAGGAGGATGAGGAGGAGGAGGAGGAGGAGGAGGAGGAGGAGGGTGGGTGGAGGAGGGAGGAGGAGGGGGGGAGGGGGAGGAGGAGGAAGAGTGGGAAGGGGTGGGAGGAAAGAACGGGGGAAGGGGGGAAGAGGGAGAAGAGGGGAGGATGATGCAGAGGGAGGCGGAGACAATTGAAAGGAGGATGAGGATTCGATAGAATGAGATGGTGCTTTCAACGTGGCAATGGCCCCTGGAGAGTTCAGCTAATTCTGGTCTTTAGCGCTCTGGGCCAAAATGCCTACAGTGAAGTGTGCGCACGCCCCAGCCGTTACGACGAATTTTGCGAATTTGATCTTCGGGTTTCTGTCGCCCAAGGGCTAAGGGGCTATAACCACCACCGACCCCAACCAACCTCCATGTACTATCGCACCACCCTAAGGGTGCGGTAGCATGGACACGAATTGAAATTCGCCTTCTGACATTCTGAAGCACACGCGATGGGTCTTCAATGGGCTCGTGCCAAACAACGGGCCGGCCTCCTGGAATACGCGGCTAAAGTTTGCATGTTCCCATTCTCTGTAGTAGGGAAGAATGAGAAAGCCATCTTCCACACAGGATGTGTACTGGGCAGTAAAAGGATTTTGGCTAAATTGGAAACCGCTTGTCGCACGAGTGGACTCTGAAAATTTCGACATGATCGCTTGCGCGGCGTTAGCATTGTTGTTCAAGGACTTGTACCGATGAATCATTGCGATCGGCCATGCCATGTGCACATGGAAAGGGTGAGCAGAAGAGATTGACAGAGGAATACAGATGGAAGGAGGCTTCGTGTGGCAGAACGAAGAGCATTTGCCAGATCTTCTCCATTCCGCAGCCTTCCTCGGCTCTACGTCTAGCCCCGTGGTTGCCTCGATTGATCTACTCTAAAGATCGATTTGACGAATTTCCTCTCCATCACGTGCCTCAAAAAGAGCCCGTGCAAACCACTTCTGACGTCGCCCCGAAAGATGGTGAGCCCATTATCTTCAAACATGCCGCCAAACTCTACACCGTGGCGTCTTCTGATTTCGGATCGAAGGACACACGGGGCCTCGACCATGCTGTGGACGGCATCGGCCACTTCGCCCGAGAATAAGAGACCCATGCTTGTGTCTAGTCTTACCTTCCAAAGTCGATCCGTGCCTCCAGCACTGATGAGTTGATTGCGAAGGTTAGCCAGGATCCAACTCTTGTGTGTTATCTTGTCCTTGGGGCCGTCGAATGGCTCGCTGGATTCGACAACCAATTCCTGGTATGATCCAGTCATGAAATAATCGGTCGGCCAAAACGTACGAACACATCGTCCGCATCCACCTAAACTTGACAAAGTTGTGTGAGTAGATTCTGACATATTTGTCTGTGGGGAAAGTACCAACTGTGCCCAACTTCAATATGTCAAGCGCTAGCCTGTGAATGTCAGAGACAGTCGAAGGCGAATGGCGATTATTTAAGAACCGTCCTCTCGCTATTCGGCACGCCTGGCAGGTGCCATTGGTTAAATATTGAAGATGGCCCCTATCTGCGAAGAATTTTTGTGAGAGCATGCGGGAGTGATGCGTCTTCGCGCTCCCAGGTGCCACCAACGGTCGGTGTCCTCCCCTATATAAAACAGCTTCCACTTGACGGTGATACAAACTGCTCAGAGGTTGACCGACTCGGGCAAGGTCTTGGGCCTAGCGTGTTCGCAAGGCGTGTTTTCTATGCAGAGCAAGTAAGAATTCAACATGCCAACATTACACACCCACTGCTGTGAGGTGAGCCGCTAAGTTAACCGCGCTCCACATGTATACATGTGGATTCGTTTTGCCGCATGTCAGAAGTATTTCGAAACCTGAGATGGTCATCAATTTTAGTAGTTTCCAGAGTAGCCTTTCCGTCGCTTGGCCTTGCCCTTGCCGCATCCTGTTTTCCCATAGTTTGATCGTCCTTTTCTTGCTTTGCCGCATTCTGGTATTGACGTAGTCGCCGCTTTGCCACCGCTTTTGTCGTAACGGCGGTGGGCGTCGGTCTTGCTTGTCTTCCCCTTCGGGGGGCCCTCTCTGGCCGTCGTAACCCTTACCTTTTGTCTTGCCCTTGCTGTCGTTTTTGGCCTTGCCCTTTGCTTTGCCTTTTGACCCCGCCGCCACCGGCGGGGGATCGCCGCTTTCTGGTTTGAGCGTCAACGGTGTTGCAACACACCCTCCCGTCCCGGGATCCCTTGCTCCAGGAACAGTCCCTACAACCACTCTTTCCCGCTGCGCGAGGAGCGCCCCCCTTGAGCGACACCGCCCCGTAGGCCCGCCATGGAGGCGAAAATTTCATTTTGAAAAGGAATGGCCATCCATCCTCCGAGCTCGAAGGAGTGCACCTCCTCTCGCTGTGAAAAAGTCACGGCACAAGGTTGATGGCCATGTTCGACCTCCAGGGGCCCAAACCAGGCCACGGGACCATCCAAAAAATGTATGATGAAAGATTCGACGCGGAGATCCTCATATGTGCATCTCATGCTCTTGCCCCACGTCTCGTTGAGGAGTTCTGTCTGTGAGCAGCTGGGTGTGAGAGCGAGTCGGCGTGGACCACGGGCGCGACAACGATGACGGCGACAGCGACGATGTCAGTGACGCCCTCCCCTTCTGGAAATCTTTCGGGAGAAATGAGGGAAGCACAAGTGGAAGAGCGAAGAAGCACTGAACCACCAAAAGAGAGAAGACTAAGTGAATCTGAGCGTGGGTGATCGGATTGTGAGCGCATCTGAGTGTGAGTGCATCGATGTATGTTCGAGTGTGAGTGCGAACGAGTCCAGGTATGAGAGATTGTGGGTACGAGTGTGTCTGAGTACGCGTAAGTTTGGATACGGGTATGTTTGAGTGAGAGTGAGTCTGAGTGTGGGTAAGTCTGAGTGTGAGTGAGTACGAGAATGAGTTGATGAGCGCGAGTCTCAGTCTGAGCGGATATGAGTATGATTGAGTATGGTGACGAGTGAACCTGAGGGTGGGCGAGTCCGAGTTCGAATGAGTCTGAGTCTGAGCGTGAATAAGCCTGAGCGTGAGCGAGTCAAGGTATAAGTATGATGAGTATGAGTTTGAGTATGGGCGGGTTTGAATAAGAGTGAGCTTGTGCATGACTAAGTCTGAGGGCGGGGGAACCCGAGTATGAGCGAGTGCGATTGTGAGCTAGTCTGAGTGTGAGTGAGCCTGTGTGAGCGAGCCTGAATATGAGCGAGTCTATGTATGAGCAAGCTTGGGTATGGGTGAGTATGAGCACTGTTGCGTTGGAGTGTGATAGATGAGCATGAGTGGGAAGAGATGCGGATGAGTAGGTCTGAGTGCGAGTGCCTCTGGGTGAAGAAGAGGAGGCGGAGGTGAGTGAGTGAGGTCCAGAAGCGTGCAGGTAACATGACTCCGAGACAAGCCGCCGAAATAGGCAAAGCGCTTGAGACATTCCCACCATTTGGGCGCGAACGGGGCCTGGCAATACCCCTTGGTGGTTCCCCCCTGGAGTGTTACAACCAGCGCCTCGCCTGAGACATCCTCCCAACCTGCTGCGAAAGCAAAGGACGTTGGGCACCCCAAAAGGCAAACTGCTTGATACACTGGGCAATACCCCCTGGCGGCTCCCCTTTGGAGTGCTGAAGCCAGCGCCTCGCCTGCGACACCCCCCCAATCTGCTATGAAAGCAAAGGACGTTGGGCACCCCAACAGGCAAACTGCTTGATACATCCCCACAGTCTGGGCGCGAACGGACCCGAGCGGTGGCTCCCCCCTTGGGGTGCTGAAGCCAGTATTATGGTCGAGACATCATCGCAGTCTGTGTGCGTGAGTGATTATGAGTGTGAAAGGGTCTGTTTGAGGAATTGATGTGGTTGAGTCAGAGTGATGAAGAGTAAGGCTGGGTATGAGTGCGCTTGAATATGAGTGAGTCTTGAGTGTAACTGAGTCTGAGTGCGAGTGAGTCTGAGTATGAGTGAGTCTGAATTTGTGTCAGCCTGAAGATGGGCGAGTCTGCGCTCGAGTGGGTCTGAGTGTGATGAAAGAGTGTGAGTGTGAGCACGAGGAGAAGAAGGTAGGTTGGAGGAGAGGGAGGGAGGAATATCCGACGCGGTCTGAGTAATAACAAGGACCCCATGTTAGGATATGGGGAAAAGCCCGTCCCGGGGGATGGGGTCGAGACCCTTTGGGAGCCCACGTGATAGAAAAAACACGACCCCGGAGTTTGGGAAGGCGTGTTCATGAAGTGCGGGGAGTTGTTTGGAACGCTTTGTAGCGGAACATCCCTGCATCCGTCGAATTGTCGTTGGTGGAAAAAGATGAGGGTGTCTGAGGCGAGAGCCCATGTTTGAAACATGACAGTGTTCCACCCGTGTATGTGTTGAACAATGGTATACGTGTGGTGGCAAAGTTGACGAAGATCTCAGGCGTGAGACCCGTTTTGAAGAGGATACGACTTCCATCCGTAGTTGTTGCGTGATGCCCAATGTCTTTCAATTCACACTGAGGAAGTTCACAGCGAGAGCGTCATTTCGAAAATCGACTGCCTTCCATCCGTGTGACAGGTTGGCCATGTCATACCCATCCTAGTAAGCCGACCCCTTTTTTCGGGTCTCCTCGGCGTATGCAATTGGTTCCTTTCCCAAGCCCCTTATCCCCGGGAGCCTAGTGTGGCGGGCTTGGAGGGGAAAGGGTTGGTGGCGGCGGGCCAATCAGCCTCCACTGCCCATCATATTTGATCGTTTGAATGATTTAGGGATACTTGCTTTCTCCAGCTCCTAAACGCCCACGACGGCCCAAGAGGCACCATGATCGCCCCATCAGAGCTGCTGGACGGCTAAAGAGGCGTCCAAGAGGGCCCCACGAGCCGCCCCAGCGGGGGAAGCAGAACTCGCTTTGGGAGCCTCTTCCCCCGAGGTAGCCCCAAGAGGCCCCCAGATGTCCCCAAGTTCTTCGAAGGCGAGGTCATTCATGGAACGGTCCACCTGTACCGCCATCCCCCAACGCGTGTTCCCCGCCAAGGTCGGGCTGGGCCTAGCCTTCTTCTTGCTCCTGATCCACAACAACTTCAATTGGGCTTCCCCGCTGGGAAGGGAAGCACGGCGGGGGAGGAGGAAGAGGACGGGACCGAGGGGCGAGGTAGGGTCCAGGCTTCTGGGCTGTTTGGGCTCATTTTGGTCGTCTGGGAATATTTGAAGACTTGGGGCCCCGTCCGGCGATGGAGTTGACGACCACCATGACAACGACGCCGACGACGACGACGCCAACAACGACGTCGACGGCGATGAGAAGAGCGAATGTGTTCACATTTCTCCCAGCACTCTTGTGTTGGTGGGCCCTTGTTCTCAGCGCTTACGCACGACACTCGCGCAGATCGCACCCCATAGCTAGCTCCACCCACGTACGGCACCAGGGAAGGGGAACTGCAGAGCGTCGCCCAGCCCCAAAGTCGCACCACGTAGTGAGCGCCACTTGCGGTACTTGCATCAAGTTTGCAAGCGGGGCCAGTCAGGCATGCTCCGTTTGGTTTACGACTATCCACGGGGACTGGGCGGCGCACCAGCCCACATTTGCCGAACCACCCCTTGCAGGAGGGGTAAGCAGCCAGCCGAAAATAGGACAACAAGGGCAACAGAGTCGAGTGGTGGAGCGCCAAGGTCACTGAAAAGAACAAATGAGGACCTATCGGAAAGGAAAGCCACTGCACCCGTGGCCACGCTCACACTTGCAGCCGTAGCGTTGGACAAACATTGTCTTGTGTGGATCCCTCCCTCTCCTTCTTAACCGCTTCGCTGTGGACTACAGATTCGGGGCAAGGCCCGTCCCTCGACTCTGGATTGCATGTCGAATCGATAACATATGGTCGCGCGATTGGCCTCATAGTTGGATCCAGCTGCGTGCGTCTGGAGCAGTGGTATAATCTGCAAGGCCAGGAGTAGCGACAGATATGGCTTTTGAGGTTTACAGAAAAGGGCATCATCATCATCATCATCATCATCAGCAGCAGCAGCAGCAGCAGCAGCATCATCAGCATCGCCATCATCATCTTCAGCGTTGCCATGTTGGCTCAAGGGCGCGCGACGTGGGGCCCTTGCAGCCCCCCTGTTTCCATTAAGTTTCTTCTTCCCGAGTCTGTGTTTTGCCCGTCTTTCCTTCGTGCGATGGGAGACCCCTTCGGCGAGGAGGTCGCGGGGCAGCCTCCGCTCCAGCGGGCGCGCGTGGGTGACATCATGGACCTCGATGGTGACGCCAGACGGGCCCCTGCCCCAGGGACCCCAGGTGGAGGAGTGACTCTCGACCCGACTTTCGGTCTCGGTCGCGAGGCAGCTGCGATGGTCAATTCGATCAAGGCGGCCCTGAATCCAGATTTCAGCAACATCACACGAGATGTCGAGAACGTACGCACCCAGCTGACGAACATGAGTCTGGAGGTGGACCTGATGACCACAAGAATGGACTCGTTCTCTTCCCGCGTCGACAAGACCGGTCAGAATGTGCAGGACCTCCTGAAAAGGACAGCCGTCCTGGACAGGGTTGGGTACCAAAGACACGTCGCCAGATTATTGTTGTGGGTGGTTTTCCGACAGAAACCGAGAAGGCTGTGATATTGACAGAGATACGTAAGTTTGTTTCGTTGAACTCCCAGCTTCCAGCATGGACGGGACCAGACCTCGCGGAGGACATCTACACACTGGAACCGCTCGCCTCGCTCGGAAAGATAAAGTTCAGATCCTCCCGGAACATGTGGACCTTCCCGAAGCCCTTCAAAGGCCACAAGTTCCAGTTCCAGGGCAAAAACCTCTTTCATCCGATAGGCAGCACGGAGGACGAGAGACAGATGAGTAAGAGGACTTCGGCCGCCCGCAACGTCGTCGTGAAGCACCTGCAGGAAGCGAACACCCCCGGGCCAAACCCTACGAGAGAGGACATGATACACGGTGCCGTGCGACCGGGACGGAGGCATCGTGCGAGTCCGCTCCAGAGACGGCCAGATCACGAGGCTCTACGAGGCGAACAGGTCCACGGGGCTCTTCGAGGTTTCTTCCCAGGCCGACGCCACCGCTTTGAACCTCCGCTATGCAGAGCACCTGCAGGACATCAATTTAGGCGTGCGCTGAGAAGTGGGACCAACAGTGCCCCAGGGGCGGTGCTGTACAGTCCGAGTTATCTCATGGAATGCGCGAAGCATCGGGAATGAATTCAACATGTGTTGCACAGACCTGGAGGCGGAGGAGCAGTGGGGTGTTCTTCTCCTTCAGGAGGCAGTCTGCTCCGAGACCTTCCAGATTAGTGCCTTGGACGGCGGCCACATCTCATTTGTTTCGAGCTCCAATGAAGGGGCGTAGAAGGACTGCCATCATCTTCCATCGCTCGTTTGAGGGCGACGTCGACGCTACCTTCAAACAGCGGGGTGAAGCCATATCCGTGGGGCTCAGGTGGGGCCCGCAGAGTATCCTCTTCGCCTGTGCTCATCTACCTCCTCACCAAAATGTAGGCGAGTAGAATCAGAGTGTTGATCACTTCCGTGAATTAATCGATGAACGCTCGCACGACTACCTATTGATTGGTGTGGATGCTAGGTTACCGTCGGGAATCGTCAACGATCTCGTCGCCCCAAATTTCCTGGACTTCGTTAAGACTCGTGTCATCACTCTCTTCCACACCATGGACTCCGCTCCCCAGGATTGTTGGACTTGTCACTACGTTGACAGGCTTGGTTCCCCCGCTCAGCAGATCGACTACATCGGAGTTTCTCGAGACCTCCTCGATCGCCAGATCAAGTTTGAATTATCCTTGCCTGCGTCCGCGGCCACGGAGTCGGACCACAGCCCGATCTGCGTCACGCTGCAGGATTGCGAGGTGCAGGCCCCGCTCAGGCCGTTCCTCGCTGGGGCGGAGGATACAGGATGCTGGTACCCTAACAAGATCTGCGATGAATAGGGGGCCCTTCTTTTCCCAGTACAAGAGCTCAAACCTGAAAGGGGGGCCTGGGCCTGGCGCATCAGGACCGACGGGGGCTTTACCAAGGGACGCCGTATTCCGAAGCGAGTGGAAACGAAAGCTGGATGGGGTTTTGCTATTTCTCCTCTGGGATGCGATGCTCCTGCCAACAGGTCTCAGGCATTGCTACTCGCCAGTGGGCCCGTCACGGACGACCCACGGCACGCGGCGCGCATCGGCGCAGCTCGCAGGGCCAACGGCACGGCCGAGATCGCGGCCTTGATCGAGCGCAATTTCTGGCTTCCGGAACAGGGACAGCATCAACTCGCTCTATCGGTTCTACCAGACACCTGCAAACGATGGCGATCCGACAGGTTCCTGTTCCCGTTGGAAGCATCTTGCGCATCCACGTCGACGCGACGCATGCGAGCCTAGCCGCCGAGGGAAAGACACGACCGAAATATAACGCTATCCTGGCTTATCTCGATCGGCATCTTTCACCGGCAAGTTCGCAATGCGATCGTGCGACTTTCGCACGGGGCCGTTCGCCGCAGGCCGAACACGTCGGGAACGATTTCGCTGATTATTTGGTCAAACAGGGACCCAAGCTCGAAGCTGACGCACCGAAGTGGACTTGCCCAGCGCAGGTGGACGGGAACCAAGAAGATTTGATCCGTCTGCTCGATGGCGCCCAACAGCTCAGCCAACCGATTCACAGGCTGATGCAACGCCAACAAAAGAGACTCGAAGTCAGCTGCTCGTCGCTCCTCATCGGGGACTTCTCGGAGACGACGCTTCCCTCGCCCATGCCACGCGCGGGCGCAGAAGGGAAAATCCCCCGACCCTGGGCCCGTTCACGAACGCGGTAGTTAGCGTTGCTCCTCGATGTCGTCGAGGCTGCCCCGGGCGCTCTCCGGGCGCGGCCCCGCTAGGCGATCGCCCGGCAGCGCGAGCTTGAGATCTACAGCGACAGCTACGCGTGGAGGCGGGGAGCCACATGCGCAAGCCCTTAAGAAACGAGAGCATCAAAGTTTTTGGAGCGACGATTTCACACGATGGGGGCGACGAGACGGCCATGGAGTACATGATATCTCAGGCTTGGAAGACTTGGTTCAAGTGGCGCTCGGTCTTCTGCCAGCACCACACACCCTATGAGAAGCGGCTCCGCTCGCGCGACAGCATAGTGCGCAACGGTCTGTTTTGGGGAGCCAAAGTGCGGGCACTCAGACAGGGCCACTTCGCAAAGTTCTGAAGCCCCCAGGACACCATGCACAGAAGAGTTCTCGGTTTCAGAAAGACTCCGGACGAGCCCCGGGAGCAGTTCCTGCACCGTGCGCGCGAAAAGATCAATGCGATGAGAAAAAGACTCGATATCCTCGACTGGTGCGACTATCTAGTGACAGCGCAGCATCGGTGGGCAGGACATATTGAACAAATGGGCCAGAGCGACCCCGCCCGTCTGACCCCCCAGGTCCTCCATTTTCGCGATGCCAGGTTCCTTCGTCGGCGAGAGGCGGTTCTTGGTCGCGGCCGACAAGGCCACTCGCGTAAGCTTGGCCCTTGGAGGTGGGAGCCCTTTCTTTCTCGCTGCCCCCACCTCGCCCAACCATGGAATTGCGTTGCGCGATCTCCAGAGCATTGGCACCGTAGCATCCAGACAGTTGTGCAATGGCGTTCGGTTGCGCACGTTTAGCACGGCGCATGATTGCAGTCCGCCGCCTCTCCCACCTCCAGTCAGGGCCGAGACCCGTCTCGAGGAGCATACATACATGCATGCATACATTATCGTCATCATCATCATCATCATCGGCATCACCATCATCAAGATCATCATCAGCGTCATCATCACCATCATCATACAGCCATCGAAGTTGCCGCCCTCAACCTCACCCTCCTCGTCACCCCGCACTCAAGTCCCCCTTCTCTTCCTGATCACCCCCCCCCCCCCCTCCCCTCCGCAGCCACTTTGGCCCCAGATGGCACGCCGTCGCGAGCCCAGCGTGGACGCCGCTAGTCCGCGGCCAGCCCCATCAGTTTTGCAGCCATGCCCAAGGACGAGCTGCCGTCCAGTCCTACGTTCTTCCCCAGCGTTGCAGGCCGAGTTTTGCCGTGCGTCTCGCGAGCTTCGCGCCGAGCATTCACGTCGCCTCGCGCCCCGCGACGAGCCCCCACATTCCCGCATCGAGCCCCGCGCCGCGCATCCATATCGCCCCATCGCGCGCCGCCCCGCCCCAGTCCAGAAGAGTCAGTCAAGCGCGCAGCGGTCTCGCAGAGGACCTGGCCAGTGACGAATCGTCGAACAGCATCCTCATACCAGCTGCCAGTACTACGACATCACGTCCGCCGCTTCCTCCGATAGAAACGACCTCTCCAACCGCTCCACGCCCCGCAGCCGCCGCGACGACCGACGCCATCGTCGAGAAGATTCGCGCCGCGGCGAACGTCGCCATGAGGACCGCCAGCATCGCGCAGAAGAAGCCCGCAGAGAGGGCCGACGTGCTGCTCGCGAGCTCCTCGAACACGACGGCCACATTGGATTCGCTAATTAACGGCTCAATGTTCCACACAATGCTTAGCATGCTACCGAGTCCTTTTCGCAAGATTAACCTGATCGGAATGGCGAGTTGGCGCCCGCCCCCTGTCATTCAATCTGCATAAATTCTAGCTGTCGCCTCTGCCGCACGGTCTGCGGCAGCAGCGTTTGCAGGCTCCCGGGAGACTTTCGCCGATCGCCTCGCCGAACTGTCATGGGAAGAAACAGCGCTACAGAACGCTTCCCGCTGGCAGGCAGGCGCTTGGTCTCCACCATGTTGGTCTTCCCAGACAGCCATCGTGCAGCACTACCGCTTTCGCATGCGCCGCGAAGCTCAGCTGCCATTCTCCAGCCAGTCTATTGCTGCTGCCGCCCGCGCTGCCCACAATGAGCAGAGAGAGAGAGAGAGAGAGAGAGAGATGCGGCAGCAGCGAACCCGCCCCGACGTGCCAAGTTCCAACGTATCTATTCAGCCAAGCTTCGCGACCAGTCTTTCAAGTCTCCCTTCACGGCCACGCTTGCCAAGCGCCTCCTTGCCTGGGGCCTCCAAGCGCCCCTGGTACCTCATGAGCTACAGAGGCGCTGGGAGGCACTGACCGACACTCAAGCAATTGCGCCCGAGTTGGCGCTGGGCCACACTCAAGACCCTTAGCGGTGGATGGACGACCACGGCTAGAATGCATATTCTACAGCAGCGCAAGTGCGCGTTGGGATGCACGGACGCACTTGACTCATTCCTGCACTACCTCTCGTGCCCCGCCCTTTCGAGGCTCCTCTGGCTCCCCGACCCCCCCCCCCTCGTCCAATCAACGCTGTCGGCATGGGGGCTGGGCCCCGCCGCAGCACATGCAGCTGACCCCACCAGCCCCATGTCGCTGCCGTCTACGATCTCAAGGATCGTTCTGGCATTCCATATTTGCAATGAGATGAAAAACGCTGCCAGCGCGCGCACGGCGATTGTCTCGCAAGCAGACCTTGTCGCCTCGCGCCGCGCTGCTCTCGCATTATTATTCAAGTATTGGAGCTAGGCCAGAGCACAGCGGTTGAGACTAACTCTTTGCCCTCTTCTCGTTCGTGCTCGTGCCCGCCTGCCCTCTTCTTTTCTCAGGGTACCCATACTCCTCCCCTCCCACCCCACGCTGGACCGCATCCGGCGCTTCTGGCGGTGATCCAAGCCGCGCCTCTGCGTGCAGGGCGCCGCCCCGCGGCTCCCGGGCGCATGTACGAGGACGCTCTTCCGCGACCTCATCCACCGCATCATCGGCTTGACTTCGCCTGGGAGCATGGCCAGATGGCGACGATTCCAGAAATCCGCGAGCTTCAGATCATGCTCACGCCGTCCAGTTGCTTCCAGTTGCGCTCTGGCTTGCGCAACGCCCCGCGGTACTACCGCCAGCTCGGCACTAGGGACGCGCGGTCATGTTCATGCCACCTGCATCCGGATCTGCCCCGCCACCGCTCACCAGATGGCATTCGGCATACTTGGCCCTGGCATGCACACCTCTAAAACCTTCGTTTCCTCCCAGCGCACACTAGCGTCGCCACATCGCGGTCTATGTTCTCCGCGTCGTGCAATCGAGTTCTTCGGCGGGTCTGCCGGGCCCTAGGCCTGCACTGCTTGGATGCCACCCTCGCCCATTACACGGAGGTGGCGCTCGACACCACAGATTTCGCCAGCCTCCCGCAGCAGGTGGACTTCAAACCCATCGGGCACGAGGCCATCGCGGTCGGCCGGAGGCTCACACGCGGATTCACAGTGGAGGACCTCCAGAAGAAGCGACACGTCCTCATCGCGGAATGCCCGCGCCGAGCCCAGCTCCTGTGCCAAGAGCTTTTCGGCGTGGACGGCTCCGATCGATTCTAGCATCCAGTATTTCCCAGGCCTTGAGGCCAACTAAGGTGCTCCAGCAGGCTTCCGCCGTGGCGGGCATCCGCCCCCACCTGCAGCCCGCCGTGCTCTCACGCCCTGGCTCCAGGCGAATGGCGGCTGCCTTGAGGGACGCCCGACAGCCGCCGGCCACTGGCAGATCGCTCAAGGTCCTCAAGGTGGCCAACCCGCCCTCTGGAGGCCCTCGGGGCGCGGGTCAGCTCGGCGTGCATCCCCTCCGTCGAGCACTTCAGTGCACTTCCCCCCATGGGGCCGCGAGGAAATGCGGAAGCGACGTCACGAACTGCTTTTCCAACATCCCCCACACGCTGGTGCGCACGTCATGGCACCACTACTGGTTCGTGCTGTCCGCGCTGGACACAGAGATTATCCCCGCCCCCCGCTGGCGCGGGCAGGGCCCTGAGGCTCGCCGTCGGCTCCCTGATCGGCCGCACCATCGACGGCCTTGCCATGGGCAGCTCCCTCGCCAGAGCACCCAAGCGAATGGTCCTGGTGTACTCGGACGTCGTCTTCCATGCGTCGCTCAACTCGTCTGCCCCTGGCCCGCACGCCTGAAGGGAGAGGGTCTGGTACGTGGACGTCTTGGGAGTCCAGATCATCGCCCTGGAGTCGCGGTACATGAACAACTACATTTGCATCTGGAAGGGCCCGCCCAGCTTGCAAGAGGCATTCGCCAGCCAGATCGACTCAGTCGTCGCTTCCTGGTCTGGGCAGCGCTACCCGTTGCCAAGCGAGCCCAACCATGCACGTCACCCTGTTCGACAACGGCACCGTCGCCGCGCGCCCAGCGTCTGTGGATCCGCCGGGCTACGATGGACATTTCGATTTCCTACCATTCCTGCACTATTGCAGCTTCGTAACAGTCCACATACAGCGCCTCATCGTCTTAGGGGCGCTAGCCCAGGTGGACCGCTTCACCATCCCCGAAGAGACCAAGCCGGAGGCGCTCCTCGAGCTCGCTCGTGTTCTCCTGGCCTGTCTGGGGTTTCCTGCAGTTTTTGATGAACCTCTGGATATTGAGCCGCCGGGGCGTTAGTACACGAGACTGGGTACAGCGACCGTGCTCTCAGATAGCGGCGCTTGCAGGACCCTGGACGTTGCGAACCCTCTCCTCGGAAAGCTTACCCACGGCTCCCCCTCCGCTCTCCCAGCTTGGCCCCGTCCTCGCCTCATTCCTCCCCCTCTCCGGCTGCTCGCCCCTCCCCCCCTCTCTCCTCCTCCGCTCCTCCCCCTCGCCCGTCCCCCGCGTCCCCGCCGTCGTCCCGGGATCTTTCCCAGCGCGCCGGGACGACCTTTTCCTGTGCCCCTCGACCCGTTCCTTCCCCCCCGCTCGGGGAAGAGATCGCAAAGGACTACGTTACATGCATGAGTGGTGCAAGCTTTCGTGTCCCGGCCGCTGGCCGATGGCGTCTGCCCTGAACTCGGGCGCAACGTCGCGAGCCTCTGGGTTTTAATTCGGCGGGTGCCTCCCCCTCCTCGGGCATGCTCTCGGCGGGGCGCGGCTGTCCCTGGGGCCCTGGGTTTGCCCCCGGGCGGGGCACGTTTCGTCCGCCCTTGGGGGCGCAACAAACTGGTACCAAGGCGTGTTCGTGCGTTCTCGTAATCCCCCTCGCGGGATACCGAGAGCGCAGGGCCTACTCAGTGTGGAGTCGAAATTGTGTATGTAGTGTTTTGTGTTTTGCCGCACACCTTCAGGAATTCCCGCCTCAGGACCAGGATGCATCGCGGACGGCATCGTCGTTACGCCCACTCCTACCCTTCCCCCCTCCCTTCGACGAGGGCCGTCATTAGGTCTCGCCGGTGGGGACCGTCAATAGGCCTAACACCCCTCGCAGTTTCCATCAATGGACTGCCTGGGTCCCCGCCCCCACCAGTCAACCTTGGAGTCTGCCGTCAATCGGCACTGGAGGGGGGCCGAGGACTCCTTGATGGACCCTCGGCCAACGAAGACGTCCATAAAGGAGGCTCCAAGCATGCCTCCACCTTCTTGACACCGTAACCCAATACACCAGTCAACCAATTCCCAATTACTCATACACCTCTTCATCACTCCTCTCCCTCCCATCTCATCCATCATTTTCCTTTTCCTACATCCCTCTTCCACGCTCCTCCTCCGCCTCCTCTCTGAATCCGCCTCCCGCGCTGAATATGACTATCTGTCTAGAGGGTTGGTGTGTAGAGAACATCGGAAGGCGATCAGCTGTCGCCGACTACGTCCTGGGAGGTGTTCCGCCTCCGGCCGCGTTTACGGAACCACGTGTCGCTGCGCTTTCACTGGTGCAAAAAGAAGACTCCTTGCATCATCCTTCCTCCTCCTCCTCCTCCTCCTCCTCCTCCTCCTCCTCCTCCTCCTCCTCACCAGTCCTCCTCCATCCTTTTTACCTTCTATATGATTCCTCCCTGCCACACCCCGCGACGCGTCGGTAGGGCGGGCCGGGCGCTTTCGCCCGAGACTTCCTCGCCCATGTACGGCCCTCACGTTCAAAATGTGCAACAGCTTCACGGATGGAGGGCGGGTCGTTTTCAAAATGCGGTTCTCGCCTAAGCGCCGCACACAATCGCTTCAAGAATTTGCAGGAGCTTCACGGGTGGAGGGCGGGTGGTTTTCAGCATGGGGTTTTCTCTTCAGCGCCGCGCACATTCGCGTTGAAAATTTGCAAGCGTTTCACGGATGGATGGCGGTTCCTTTCAAAATGTGGTTCTCGCCGTAGCACCGCGCATATTAGTTTTCCAAGTTTGCAAGAGCTTCAAGGATGGAGGGCGGGTGATTTTCAACATGCGGTGATCGTGTCAGCGCCGCGCACATTCGCGCTTAAAGCTTGCAAGAGCTTTACGGACGGAGGGCGGTTCTGTTTCAAAATGTGGTTTCCGCCTCCGCGCCGCGCACATTCGTTTTTAAGAGCGTACAACAGTTTCAAGGACTCGTGTGGTTCGTTGTCCCGCACATGTTGTTTGGCACGGTGTAGGTTTGTCAAGTCGCAACAATCACATTGATTCGCGGTGATGAAATCCCAGGAACATTGTTCTGGCTGGTTTCAGGATCGCCAGGACGCAACAGTAATGTTGATTCGCGGCGTTGAAGTTCCATGAATGGTGTTCTGGCGCGGTTCAGTGTTTTCAGACCGCTGTTTTCCAATGGGGCATTTCCTTAAGTGGAATTTAAGTGGAAATGATCAAAAGGCAGGGGCTCTGCAATATCGTTGATGAGTCTTGGGTTTACACGGGTCCTCCTTCTCCTCCTCCTCCTCCTCCTTTTCCTCCTCCCTACGGTTTCGGATGGAGCTAGAGGCCTTAAGTCTGTTTGTCCTGGGGCCCAAGCGAGTTTGCTCGACCCTGGCCGCAAGAACACTCGAGCCGTGCTCCGTTCCAAGCACCCCAATCGCGCCTTCAAGCTGGGTCCCTAGAGGTCGCCTGGGGAGCGGGCTGGGGAGGTGTTTGGGGTGTTGAACGGCGGCCCAGGGGTCCAGCGACAAGGCCAGCGAAGCGAGGGGGTGTCTAGTTTGATTCCCGATCCCCTCTGCTCGGCTGATTGTTTGCAGGCGTTCGGCTTGAATGCAGCGGAGGCCCGAGACCTCGGGGGCAAGCTCCGAGAAAAGCGCAACTGCACTGATAACTTGTTCGACGACGGTTAGCCTTTTTGCCCTGGGGGGCCCTGTCGCTGGCCCCTGGCAGGTCCTTGGCCTTCCTGTCAGGGAGACAAAAAAGACCCTCTCCGATGGTCCCCCCTTTTGGGCTTTTTTAGCCGACTGTCGGATTCTTTTCTCTCTTCTCCCCCTTTTGGTGGCGTGCGATCCTCTTCCTGCTGCTACTCCTCCTCCTCCTCCCCCCTTCACCCTCCCACCACCACTTTCATCATTCGCCCTTCTCCTCCTTCGCCCTCCCTCCCGCTTCGCCTCCCTCCAGACGACGACGACGACGCCGGTGGAGGCGCAAACCACTGCGGACGCCAAGGAGCTGTTCGACGACGGCAAAGAGTGGGCAGAGGACCGCTGGTCGTGCATCGCCGTCGTCGTCGTCGTCGCCGCCGCCGACGTCAGTCGTCGCGGGGACGCGGGCGGGGCGGCTGGGCGTTGCTGGGCCGGCCCCCAGGGCCGCCCGAGTTTTGTCATACTTCGGGAATGCATGAAGCCGCTTCGGGTAGCGTTGCATCATTGTCTTCGCCGCCATCAACTGCAGCATTGCCGTCATCAGTGTCATCATCGTCGTCATCGTTGCCGTCGCCATCGGCGTCGCCGTGGTTGTGCGAGGCGCGAGGTACGTGACTGATTACATGTGTGTCGCTTCTCTTTTCTAGAGAACGCTCCCCTTGGCACAGTTGGACCCCACGATTCGCAAACTTTCAGGCTTAGAGGCGCTCTGAGTCCAACCGCCTGTCACGCACGCTAGCCGCTACCCTGTCTGGGCATTGTTGGTGCTGCAGGCCTTCAGGGTCACCCGCGATCTGATTGGCAGAGGCGTGCCGCCACCGCCACCGCCGCTGCCGCCGCCGGCGGAGCAGTGGGGAGGCCGCGGACGACGAGCTTGACCGACGTTGCGTAAGGCATCCCTCGCGGCCTGCCAGAGCTGCGACGCGGCTGACGAACCTAAAGCGTCGTGGACCTCGGCTTCGCTCTCGGTCACCGGGGGGGGTCGCTGGGCACAGGCGGCAGTTGCGACCCGCTGGTGGGTCGCCTGGTGGCTAAGGCGCCCGCGCCAGTGCCGGGAGCCGCCGAGCGATAGAATGTGGCGAGCCCCCCGCCCTCGTCGACGGCTGCCATTCAGGCACTGCGGGTTGGCGGGGTGGTTCGCTAAGTCGGCCGGGCCAGCGGGCTTCGTGGACGACGACGTCCTCCATGAGCGCGTGCTGGTCTGGCCCGCGAGGGGGGGGAGCCATTGGGGTGCGTGCTTTCTCCTGACGGCGATTGCTGGATCGAGGTTCTCGGGGCGAGGGACCACGCGGCCGCCCCATGATTGGCGATGCCTTCGTACCCCCTCCAGCCTCCAGCGCGGGGCCAACAGGTCCATCACCTCGGCCGCGGTGTCCCCGATGCCGAAACATAGGCGCTGATGTTCGACCGTAAGTAGTCGGCCAGGAGCGGGCCCGAACTCACGCAGGAGGTGAAGGTCACCACGTACGAGGGCCTCGGGGGCGGGTGGCTCATCCCAGCGCCCCATCGCTGGCCTGGGTGATGAGCGAGCCGTTCGGCAGGCTCAAGATCGGCGACATCGTGGAGCCGCGAGAAGGCGACGCGCAGGTGCCTCGGGACCGCGCTCTCTTGATGGAGGGCGAGGATGTTGGCCGAGCGCCGACGCAGGCGAGGCGACGGGGAGCTCTACGTTGTTCGACTTGTCGAGCTGTCGGCCGACGCCGTCAGCAAGCGCGTCAGCGTGGCCGAGGCTCCGCCGATCGCGGAGGCGGCGCCCGCGGTGCAGGCGCCCCGTTCCTGGGCCCGTCCTCCAAATCGGCCCCCCGCACCTCTCCTTGAGTGTTTTCCGGCGAGGATTTCGAAGGGAGTCCAGCCGCAGCGGCGAGGGCCGTCCGGGAGGCCTTCGGATTCTCCTTTTCGTTCTCTACATCGATCCTGACGCTATACGCATTGTCCGCGGCCACAGCACACATTGTGGACAATTTCGTTGTGGCCATTGTGGAGTATGTCATGTTTGTCTATGCGACTGTTCTCTACAGCGATCCTGACACCTTCGTCGTTGCGGCCACAGCTCACATCGTGGACGCTAACATGCTTGTGATTGCCAAGAACATGTCGGATTCTGAGTGCAGGCTCAATGTGATTCGAGAGGCTTCGCTTTCCCGAGTTGCCTGATCCCGAGCTTGCCGATTGTTGATCGGCGGGGGCGCGCCCTGCCGATCCCACGCTGTGCGGGGCGGATTGGGCCGCCCCTGTACGTGCGCGTAGCGCACAGCGGCGTTCGAACGCGCTTGCCGCGGGCAGAGGGCTCTTCCCAGACCTCCGGAATCGTCCCTCTCCCTGAGCTTCGACTCTTATATATATAACCATCATCATAAACGTCGTCCCATTCCTCATAATACGTTTCCTCATGCTTCTCCGCCTCCTCCTATCCCTCCAACGTTTCGCATCAGTCGCCTCCGCGTCTTCACTCATTTCCTCTTGCGGCGGGAGGAGCAGCGCAAGGCGTACGTGGCGGACCGAGACACGGGGAAGGTATGTTGCTAGAGGCGTGCGCGGGGGTCTGGTCGCGGACGAACGGAAGAGGGAGGAGGAGGAGGAGGAGGAGCACTGTTTCCCAAACAGTGTTTGCAAGAAGCGTTGCTTGCCTGGCTGTAGGCTGTAGGTACTTGGGTGGGTTCCCCGGGTTTCGCCCAGCGGGCGCTCGTAGGCGCTCCGCGGGCGCCCCATGCGCTGGCTGGGTGCCTCGGCCTTTCGCGCGGTAGGCGAATCGTGGGCGCCTCGTGCGCTGGCTGGATGTTCCAAGTTTTTGCGCAGAGGGCCCCCGTGGCGCTTCGTGGGCGCTTCGTGCGTTGGCCGGGTTATTGCACGGTGGGCGCCGCGTGGGCGCCTCGTGCGCTGGCTGGGTTCTCCTGAGTTTCGCCTGGTGGGCGCCTGTGGGCGTTTCGTGTGCTCCTCCTCCTCATGGGTTTAGTGCCGCTTCCAGGTGTGGCAGCTGGCGTTCCTGTTTGTTCACCATACCACATGGACTGCACCCGATCTAGTGCGATACGCAGATTGCGCTGCACACCTTGCACTGTATAGATTGCATATCATGGCTTGTGCCACAATTTGCACCATCCAGATTGCACCATCCACAATTTGCACCATCCATATTGTAACACGTAGCCTACGCATTCAGAATGCAATAATTCACGGCTTGAGATCCACTCTGGCGAAGATTGGTTCGTTTGTTCCATACCGTGTGGGCCTAGCTTCTCGTCTGCGCGGTTGGCTCCACTTCAAAATTATCATCAACGCACACGCATGGAGTGGTTCAGGAGTCAACTGTCGAAGGCGGACGAGGAGGGGGAAGGGGAGGGGGAGGGGAAGAGGATGAGGAGGAGGAGGACGAGGACGAGAAGGAGGAGGAGGAGGAGGACCAGTGGAAACCCAAGGGTCATCAACGATGTTGGAATTAACCCTCCCTCCAAGCTCCTTCTTCATATGCCCCTACAACGGTTGATTTCCATCGAGGGAGCTGCTTCTTTGGAAGACAACACTTTGAAGATCCTGAAGCGTGCTAAGACATTGTCCTCGGGATTTCAACGCCATGCACCAACTTGACTGCTGCATCTTGACGATCCGGAATCGTGCCAGAACGCCATGTTTGGGACGTCAACACAGCGAACCAACATAACTGTTGCACCCGCATAATCCTGAATCCTTCCAAAACACCACTTCTGGTACGTTGATCGTGGGAATCCGTGAAAGCATTACAAATGTTTAAAACTAATGCGCGCGGCGCTAAGGCGAGAGCCACATTTTGAAAATTAACCGCCCTCAATCCGTGAAACTCTTGCAACAGATTATATATATTTATGTATGTATATAACTATATATATATATAAATGTGCGCGGCGCTAAGGCGAGAGCCACACATGTTGAACACGACCCACTCTCAATCCGTGAAACTCTTGCAAAAGTTTAAAAGGAATGTGCGCGGAGCTAAGGCGGAGCCACATGTTGAAAACCACCCGCCCTCAATCCGTGAAACTCTTGCTTTTTTTGTAAAGGAATGTACGCGGCGCTAAGGCGAGAGCCACATTTTGAAAACCACCCGCCCTCCATGTGTGAAACTGTTGTCGCTGTAAGCTTCAGGGTCATAACTGGTGAGGAAGTCTCAGGCGAAACGCCCGGCCCACCCTAAAAACTGGCCTCGGGGTGCGACAGGGAGAAGTTATCTGCAAGGAGAAGGAATGGAGGAGGAGGAGGAGGAGGAGGGACGAGGGGAGGCGGGCAGCAGGAGGATAGAAATGCTTGGACGTGTTTGGCCCCTCTTGGGCCACTCCTCCATAGACCTCCGGAGGCCTCTCGTGAGTCCATAGGGACTTCTGGAAAGGTCCAGATGTTGAGGAGGATGAGGAGGAGGAGGAGGAGACGGAGACGGAGGAGGAGGAGGAGGAGAGGAGGATAAGGAGGAGGAGCAGGAGGAGGAGCAGGAAGAGGAGCAAGAGCAGGAGCAGAAACAGGAGCGGGAGCAGGAGCAGGAGCAGGAGCTGAGGAGAGGAGATGAGGGGAGAGGAGAGGAGAGGAGAGGAGAGGATAGGAGAAGAGAGGAGAGGAGAGGAGAGGAGAGGGGAGAAGATTTGGGAGGAGAAGGTGGAGGAGAAGGAGCTGAAGGAGTAGGAGCAGGACCAGGGCAAGCCAAAGATGCATAAGCGATGCTGCAACGCATCCTCTCGTCCCAAGTCCCCTCCCCATACGCCCCTACAAGACCTTCTCACTACAAAAAGCGCCGCCCCCCTTTGAAATACCATCATAATTGGGCCTGCCATGTTGGCGAGGGCCCCGCTTTAAAAATGGATTGCCTTGCATCTTCCTGGTGCGTAATCAGGAGCGCCAAACATATGATCATACAGTTCAACGAGATGTCCAGCGAAATCCCTGTTTTGACGAAGGGCCAGATCCCAGCCGTGTAGCTGCTGCACAAGCTTATACATATGCCCATAAACTTCGACCAAGTTTCAAGCGACAGCGCCATTTCGAAAAGGAGCCGCCATGGACCCGTGCAGCGCTACGTGCGTTGAAGCTTTCGGGTTTCCTAAGCGAGAATTGCATGTTGGAAGAGAGAGCAGCCCTCCATCCTGTCAAATGCTGCCGTAAAAGAAAGCATGCCCACGGCGCTGAGGCGAGAGCTCCATTGTGAAAACGATCAGTGTCAAATCCTTGACGCTGCTGCAAGGTTTCAAGACGAATGTTCGCGGCGATGAGGCGAGAACCCAACTGTGAAAAGGAACTGTCCTGTGTCCGAGAAGTTAACGCAACGTTTAACGCCATATTGAAAACAACGCTCACCGTCCATCCCTTAAATTCCTGCAAATACTTAAGACGAGTGCGCGCGGCGCCAAGGCGACGGCCCCCCGTCCGTCCGTGAAGCTAACATGTTTAAGGCAAGAATGCAAGGCGCTAAAGGCGAGAGCCACATTTTGAAAATGAACCGCCCTCCATCCGTGTAATTGTGGCAAAGTTCCCAGACGAGTGCGAGCGGCGCCAAGACCAGAGCCACATGTTGAAAAAGAGCCGCCCGCCGTCCGTGAAACTGCCGCAAATTTCCCAAGACGAGTGCGCGCGACGCTGGGGTGAGAGCCACACTTCAGAAACGATCCCCAGCCCATCCGTGAAACCGTTGAACATGTTTACGACGAGAGCACGCGGCGCTAAGGCGAGAGCCACCTGTTAAAAAGGAACCGCCCTTCTCAAGGAAACGCCCAGCCTGCCCTACCGGCACGTCTGGGGGTGCGCCCTGGATGAGTTATCGAAGACGCCTACGGCCATAGCGCGACGCATGCGACAGGGAGGAGCTATCGCGACGCCGCCTCTTGTCTTTTAGGATACGCCTACGTGACCAAACGTTTAGGTAAACTTTGGCCACGCTAGTGGACCATGCGTTCCCACAGCCATTGTGGAAGCCCTTCGGGGAACAAGTGGGGGAGGAAGAGGAGGATGAGGCGAGGGAGGAAAACGAAGGATGAGGAGAAAGATGAGGAGGTCTCTTGGGATTTTCTTGGGTCATTGTTGGGGCCTCCTGGGAGCTGCCTGGGACCCTCTTGGAGGCCTCTTTGGAGACTCCTTGGGCCTCTCGGGGGCTTTGGGGGGCGTCGTGGGGGCCTCTTTGGCCGTTTTACGGCGTTCCTGGCCCGCCTGACGCAGTCGGAAGCCGTCTTGGGGGCCATTTTGGGAGCCTCTCGGGCCGTCCTGGGGCCATATTGGAGGCTTCTTGGTCGATCTTGGACCGTCGGAAGGCCACTTTGAAGCAAACGCCAAATCCGTCAAAACCTAAATGAAACAATGATGTCTAGGCCTTGCCTAAGGAGTTCTTGTTTGTTTGTGTAAGCAACAGGTGGGTGTGACGCGTGAATTTCAGAAAAGGCCCCCAAGGTTCTCCAGGTTGCCCGTTGCCTGGTTGCAGGGCCTTCCCCAGGGTTGCACAGGATTGCTTGGTTCATGAATGTCAAGCAAAGCCAGGCCATGCAAAGAAGTGCCAGGCGAAGCCGCAATGCCAAGCATGTCCATGTCCTTGGGCTGTTTGGGGTCGCCTCGTTCTGGAATAAGCCAATGCTAAGCAATGCCAAACAACGATTCCAAACAACACCGAGCAACGCCAAGCAATGCAAATGAATGCCGAGCAATGCTCCGCATTGCTGTGCCTTGCACTGCTCAGAACTACTTTGAATTCTTTTTGAAGGAAGAAGTCCCCTAATTGGGGTCGCTCTGGGCTCATCGATCGGATTCTGGCCATATCGGAAGACTTTAGGGCTCGTGGGAGGCAATCAGGGGTTTCCCTGGGTCCTCAGGGACCCCTTCGGAACTTCTAGGGGCCTCTTGGGTATTTCTTGGGAGCTGTCTTGGGCCACCTCCGGGTCATAGTTGGGACTCTTCAGGCTGTGATGGGGTTCTTGTTGTCTGCCTCCCACTGACCCTTGGGTGGCCCTCTTAGAGCACTTTGTGGCCCTCTTGTGACCACCTCCCGGCCCGAGAAGCCCATTGAAGCCCGCACAGGCCGGAAGGCCAAAATATGTCGGAACACATGTTTGTTCGAGGACGGCAATTTTGGGATTTGGGGAGCATCCGAGGGAAGGCTATTCTGCCACTTTGGGCTGCATGTGCAGTCCGTTAGGCTGTGTTGGACCGTCTTGGGGTCACAGTGGCACCATTTGGGAACCATCTGGCCAGCTTGGGGCCAGCATGGGGCCCGACGCGCTTTTTTGACCCGCGCTCCTGGGGTGCTCTGTGCGGCTCTTCCAGGGCTCTTGCCCGCCTTCGCCCAGTTTGGGGCCCAGTAAGAACCGCAGACCTCCCAGGACCACCCTCGCGCGCACGCACTAGATGTGTATTCACTTTGACTCCATTACCTGTAGCCAGTTGGGCTGGCGAATTGGTATGGTTAGATCGAGGCTTTCGAGGTTCACACAGCGCAAAGTATACAATTATCTTGGCGAGGATCTCAGGGCCATGGTGCCTACAAAGTTCGGAGACGATGGAGTCCGTTCCGATCGGCCAGTGTTGCATATTAGTTGTTCCATCATGTCGACTGTCTGGTTTGGCTCCATAGGCACGTGAATGTTGATTGTACGGTATACAGGCATGTCTACAATGAGGGCTAACACACAGCGCCACGTGTACGAAGTTGCCCTCCTAGCAGGCGTTCCTGGCAAGCGTTTCAACTCACACGTTCCCAGGGCACATCAGCACATCAACGCTGCCCAGAGATGTGCACCTGATTTTCGCTCCTGGCAGGCGATGCATCAAGCACGCGTGAACTAGCGACCCGTTGCAATGGTGGCTCAATCGAGAAGGCGGCCCCGGGCAGACCGGGGCCCGGCGCCCCGCTGCCATGGGCGAGGCGCCGGACCAGCTGCAAGGCTTCGTGAGGCGGGTGGTGGCGCTCGCTGGAGAGGACGTCTCGCTGCAGCAGAGGTGCCATGGCTGGCTCCGGGCCAGGATCATGGCCTTACGGAAGGAAGGGGCCTTGGCTGGCATGGACTGGGAGAGTGCGTCTCTGCCTTCGTTGGAGGAGGTCAGGGAGGCGCCAATGCAGCCGGCGGACGCACCCGGCCTCGCGCTCGACGCGCACTTGGAAGGACAGCCTGCTGCTGCAGAGGCGCGATTCGTGAATGGGATGGCACCTGGGGTGGTGCCGACAGATGCGGCTGCGGCCCCCGCCGTGGCATCCACGGAGGCGTCTTCTGCGGCATCCGCGGAGGCGCCCGCCGTGACATCCGCGGAGGCGCCCGCCGCGCTGCCTGCCGCCGCTGCCGCAGCGTCGCCTGCGCTGGCGATGGCCGCAGCGGCGCAAGGAGTGGAGGACGGCCCCGACTCCGAGCCGCCTGACTTCGAGGACGAGGATGACGCCGGCGACCCAGATGAACCGCCGCAGTCACAAGTGGCGACCCCGATGTCCAAGGCCGCCGAGCCGCCCGAGGCGCCGCCCGAGGTTACCTCCTTGCCCGCCTCTGCGGCGCCCACGGCCGCTGGTGCGGAGGGCCCCGAGGGCGCCAGGGAGGAGGAGGCAGCTGTGCCGAAGGGGCCCCCGCCGTCCAATTGGGTAGGGCCAGACGCGGGCCAGGCTCAGCCAGAGGCCGCCGGCCAGCCACCGTCCGACCAGTCGCCGCCAGAGCAGCCGCCGCCGGCGGGGCCGCCGCCGCCGGCTCAGCACCCGTTGCCAGGGCCCCCACCTGCGGGGCACCCGCCGCCAGGGCAGCCACCGCTGGGGCACATGCCAGGGCAGCCGCCGCCAGGGCACCCGTTGCCAGGGCACCCGTTGCCAGGGCATCCGATGCCAGGGCAGCCGCCGCCGCATGGGCCATATCCCCCGCCGTACGGCGGATGGCCGCCGCCCGTGTGGGGGGGGCCTCCCCATGGCTTCCCGCAATGGGGCGTGCCGCCGAGGCCCTTCTTTGGAGTGCCTCCGATGGGCCGTCCGCCGTTGCACGGGCCCCCGCCCGGAGCGGCCTACCCGCCTCCCGGGGCGTACACCCCACCAGGCGCCACTCGTCCGCATGGGGCGCCCTTGGCTGCAGCGCCGGTGGCCGCTGCCCCGCCAGGTGCTCCGCCAGCAGGGGCCCCCGCCGCGCCTGGCGGCTACGCTCCCGGCGGCTACGCGCCGGGCGGCTACGTGGCGGGCGGCTACCAGCAGCCCGCCGCCGGGCCCGTGGCGGTTGCCCCAGCAGCCGCCGGGACCTCTGAGCGAGACCGCGACCGTCGGCGCCGGCGCCGCGAGGGCCACCGCTCTGGCGCCAAGGAGCGCGCCCGGCGCCGGTCGCCGTCGTCGTCGTCGTCGCCGCCGCCAGCGCGCACGCGCCGCAGGCGGGCGGCCGAGCCGCGGGGGAAGTCCCCGCAGCCGACGCCGGCCCCGGCGCCGATGCCGAAAGGTTATGCCGTCCGCGTTAGCAACGTTCCGCCAGAGCTGACGGCACAGGACATCGCGGAGGCTTTCCAGGAGGTCTCCCTGCAGCGCATCGAGGCGGTGGACGTCTTCCGCGACGCGCAGAACCAGCCGACTGGCGAGGCCCTCGTGATCTTCAACACGTACAGCGACGCCGAGAACGCTGTGCGCCGCTACCACGGCGGCGGCCTCAACGGGAAGCGGCTGATCGTCGTGCACACGACCGCATGAGGCAGTGCCCGGGTTCTTCGCTGGGCAGACGGCGGAGTGTGCACTTCGCCGTCTCTAGCCGGCGGCCGAGACCGAAGGCTGCTGCGTGGAGCGCGCGCGTGCGCGGCAGATTGGTTGCAAAAAACACGTTTGCTTTCCCGCCGCTGCCCGTATAACGCCGCATACTTCGACGACCCCAGCGTCCGCCTCGGCAGGGAGAGGGGAGGGATGGATGGACGGATAGAGAGGGGAGGTAGAAAGAAGGAGAGAGAGAGAGAGGAGGGGAAAGAGAGAGAGATATAGAGAGACAAAGAAAACAGGAAAGGGAGAAACACATATGTGTAAAAGCGACCAGTTTAAAGAGAGGGAGAGAGAGAGAGAGGGAGGGAGACAGAGAGAGAGAGGAAGAGAGAAATGCGTATAGCATTGCTGGGCAGCTGAGGCAAATTCTGTGGGTCTGAAGTTCGGGCGATCACGAGCCACGATATTGTAATGCGTGAGTCTGGCTGCAACGAAGCCATTAGAAGCAATGGCCATTATTTGGGGCCAGGCGCTACCGACAATGGCACTGGATTTCAGAAGCGAGGGAATGAGCCAGAAAATGCAGATGATGATGGAATGAAGCAGAGAACACAACATACTAAAGAGACCGCGCTTGATCTGCAGCTACACATGGACGAGAGAGAACTGCAACATGGTGGGGCGGAAGAAGGAGAAGACGGGCAAAGAGAGGGAAGGAGAGAGTGAGAGAAAAAACCTCAGACAGTTCCGAGATAATCCCAGTGAGATGGATAAGGACTGCCAGCACGAGCATCCTGGCGCTGCTCCATGCGATGTGGTGGGTCCTGTTTTGGGATCCTACCCTCATTCCATCGCGTAATCAGACGCATGCACCGCTGCACCGCTGATGCACATCAGACGAATGCCACCACCAAGAAGAGACCTTCTTGGATCTCTCGCCCGACGAGTGCAAGGATAGCCAGCACTGCGACCATGTCACACAGATTGCACTACATGCGAAAATGTTGCAGCAATGATTAAATGAGTACGAGGAGTGCGCCGACTGATACTTCACTCGCTCATCGCGTGCCGGAGGAGCTGACCGATAAGTGTCGGTTTCGTGTTGGGCTTACGTGTTCGTGGCCCGGTGTTGTGGGCAATCTTCACGTCCAGCGTAGAGATGGTGGAAAGAGCGCGTTCTGTGGTCGCTTGGAGGGGGGGGGGGGCTTGGAACCGGACCCTGCCCCCTCCCGCCCTCCCCTACTTCTCCTCTCTCCCTCTCCCCGGGCCGGCGCTGGCGTCGGCGACGGCTGGCGGCGGCGGCGGGGGTGTTGGTGATGGTGGTGGTGGTAGTGGCGGTGGTGGTGGTGGTGAGGTGGTTTGTGGTGGTTGTGGTGGTGGCGGGTTGTGCTGCTGGTAGTAGTGGTGGTGGTTGTGGCGGTGGTCGTGGTGTGGTAGATTGTGGTGGCGGTGGTGGTAGTGGTGGTGGGTTGTTGTATTGGTGGTGGTGGTGAGCTGTTGTGGTGGTGGTGGTGGCTGTGGTGGTGGTGGTTGTGTGGTGGTTTGGTGGTGGTGGTGGTGGGTTGAGGTGGTGATGGTGGTGGTCGTGGTGGTGGCGGTGGTGGTGGTGGCGTGGTGGTTAGTGGTGGTGATGGTGGTGGTTGTGGGCTGTGGTGTTGGTGGTGGTGGTGCTGCTGGTAGTGGTGCTAGTGGTGGTGGTGGGTGGCGGGTGGCGGGTGGCGGGTGGCGGGTGGCGGGTAGCGGATGGTGGGTGGTGGGTGGTGGGTGGTGGGTGGTGGGTGGTGGGTTGTGGGTGGTGGGTGGTGGGTGGTGGGTGGTGGGTGGTGGGTGGTGGGTGGTGGGTGGTGATGGGTGGCGGTGGTGGTGATAATGGTAGTGGTAGTGATTATGGTGTAATGGTCTGTGGTGGTGGGTTGTGGTGTTGGTGGTGGTGGTGGCGATGGTGGTGATGGTGGTGGTAATGGTGGAGTGGCTTGTGGTGGTGGTTGTTGTGGGTTGTGATGGGTTTTGGTGGTGCTGGTGCTGGTGTGGCGTGTTTGGTGGTGGTGGTGGTGGTGGTGAGGTGGTTTGTGGTGATGGTGGTGGTTGTGGTGATGGTGGGGTGTGGTGGTTGTGGTGGTGGTTATGGTAGTGGCGGTGGTGGTGGTGGTAGTGGTATGGTGGTCTGTGGTGGTGGTGGTGGTGGTGGTGGTGTGGCCTTCGGCTCTTCCCGCCAATGTGTTTTGGCTTTGGGTCAGAGTTCTGATGGATGCCCCTTGAGGTATCGTCAGAAGGGTCTCGGGGGCGTCTGAGGAGCATGCGAGGGCTCGATATGGCGATTTGTGTGTTCCCTCCGCGGCCTCTGGGCCCTCTCTGGTCATCGTCGCTGCGTCCCCGCCGTCGGCGCTGCTGGCCGCCGCCAGCGCCGGCGCCGGCGCCGGCTCGGGGGGGGGGGGGTTGAACCCCCCCCCCTCCTGGGCCCTCTCTGGTCATCGTCGCTGCGTTGGCGCTGCGGCGGCCGCCAGCGCCGGCACCGGCGCCGGTGGGGGGGGTTTGGACCCCCCCCCCTGGGAGGGGAGGGGAGCGGGGGGGGAGTTCGGGAGGGGGGGGGTTCGCTTGTGGACATCAGCGGGTGCTGGTCCACGAACGGGTGCGCAGAATACATCATATTGTTGCTCATTGTTCGTATTCCTCCGCAAGCTGTTCTATGCTCACTCCCTGCGCTCTGAGACGTAGGATTTCCAGGGCTATGGCAGGAGATATGGGAAGAGGATTGTGAAGGGAACTATCAAGAGGCAAATTGGTTCTAAGCCTAAGGAGGGTGTTGCAAGTGATAGCGAGGCGGAGGAGCAACCGGCGTTGCCGCGCTTCGTTGCTCCTCGCCTCTGTCATGGTTTTCTGCTCGGACGTCGAGCCTTGAGCCAAACAGTGCACATATATAACTGGCGCGGGGTTGGTGTTGCCACTCTCCCCGCGCATGCAAGAGCCACGCAAAACTGCGCCATGCCATGCCTCACGCACCGCACAACACATCACAAACTGACTTAACAGTTTTAACGCCGGCTGCTGTCCCGGCCGCGTGGCCGATAGAAGATCGATTGTAAAGTTATTTTGCTACCTAGCGGGAGGGGGGGAATTCGTTACGTTTCTCCCTCCCCGGCAGACTCGGCCCGTCCAGACCGTTACTCTCCTGAGCCGATTCAACACAGTGGCAACGCTGCACGGAAATAGGCTCAAATCTGTACCGCACGCTCGCTACATATTTACACTACGAACTTGCTATCCCATTCAGTGGGAATGTGGTTTCGGACACCCCTCTCAACGTGTCCGGCGAACGTGGCCGAAACTACTGTGCAGCATACTTCACAGACACCCCCCACACACGCTTCTCCCCGGGAGTCGCGGCGGGCAGCTGCGATCTTCCGCATTCGCGCCGGCACAGCCCGGCGCGGTGTGGGGCGCAAGAGGCCCACAAAACCTGCGAACACTGAGGCTCACAGCGGGCGAAGGCCAAAATGGCCTCTGGTGCGCTGCGCGTGCGGTACTCCGCCGCACTTCGTCAGCCCGTCGGCCTTCATAAAAGATGTGGCGACGAACTGGAGAGTCAAAAGACCTCGCTCGACACGCGAACGAATCGCGTTAACTTTGGTCGAGAGGGCCCGCGTGCGCCACGTCTCCCTGCCAGTCGCAATCTGGTTGGCGGCGCTGTTATCTCCATACAGAACGGCACAGCACTTGATCTGCATGCTCTCCAGAGTTGCCACAACTGACGATTGCACGCTCTCGCCCATGGCAAGTGCATTGACCTCGGCTTCACAAGTGGAGAAAGCTACCAATTGTTGCCTGACCGACCTCCAATCGATCAGGCAGCCGTCAAGATACGTAGCAACCCTTGTCTGGGTTCCCACGTCCTCGTGGGAAGCGTCCGCGAATGTCTGGACGAAGGCGGCCTCCGGGTCCTGCTCGCCGCCGTCGCCTTGGTCGTCTCCACCTCCGCCTCCGCCGCCGGGGAGGTAGTAGAGCCCCATGCGGCGAGTGCTGGACAAGTACCTCAAGACCTTCTTGCCGAAGCAGAGGCTCGTCAGCGGGCGGGTGGTCGCTATCGAAGCCACTCGCGACACGGCGTACGCTATGTCTGGGCGCGTCCGGGAGGCCAGCCACAAAAGGCATCCGGCCATCTTCTGGGCCAGCCGGACATCGGACAGCTTCACCTCAGGTGCCTCGTCGTCGTCGCCATCGTCCCTGGAGGAGGTGGCCATGAAGTGCTCGAAAGACTCCTTCTCGAAGTTGATGCTCCCCGTCCCACTGCAATGGAGCATCCCCCACTTTTCGAGCAGCTCCTCGGTGTACTGGCGCTGCCCGAGCGTCAGAGTGCCGTCGGCCCTGAGCTCGATGTCGATGCTCAGGTACCGGAGCGTGCCGGGTGCCGACCTGCTCACGATCGGCTGCGAGCTCGTGCGCCAGAGCTTCCCCAGCTTGTCCCTCAAGGCTATCACTGCGGAGTCCGACCCCATCATCAAGAAGTCGTCCACGTACGCCAGCACGTAGCCAACGACGTCGCCGCCCTGCTGCGGCACCACGGCCCAGACCGCCGGATCAGCAGTCGATTGCCGCAGCACGTGCGGCTCGCCCCCGATATCCACGACGAGCGACTTCATATCAGCGTCCCGCTTGTCGCTCCAGGCCTTCGGGCTGACCCTCAGTCCGTAGATGGCCTTCTCCGCCACCCACAGCTCGCCCTCCGGAACCAAGCCGTACTGGACAAAAACAGCAGGCGGCCTGACGACGACACGCTTGTGCCCCATAGGCAAATGAGCGTTCAGGACGCGGTCGACACGTCCATGACCCCGAGGCTCCAGCCATTCTTGCAGGCCACCGCCAATGAAGCCCTCAGCGATGCGATGTCCAAATTGCTGCAGTACACCGGCTCGTCCGACTCGTCCTCGAAGTTGCCGCACACGACGCCCCTGGCCTTCTTCTTCCGGTATCCGGTAGAATCTGCAGCCTTCTCCCCAGCCACCACCTTCATAGGAAGCACGTCTCGAGGCCGTACTTCTCGCAGCTCTGGGCCCGAGAGCTTCCTGATGACCTCATTCTCCGTCATGGAGATGAGCTCCGCTTCCAAAGCTTGGCGCCATTTCTCGCGCTCCGAGCCGAAGGCAGCATTTAGGGTCTTCATCGGCGTCAGGGTCATACCGCTCTCGCGCTGGATCTCCTGGAAGATAGGTGGAATGTCGTCGTCGTCATCCTCCTCCTCCTCGTCCAGGGCGCCGACTGCGGCCGAGAACGCGACGCGCGTGTTCATGCAGTCGTGGTGCATGAGGAGGCTGACAGGGGGTCCAGAAGACGGCAAGGTACGAATCGTCGGCCGCCCAGTCGATCCGGATGCAAGGCGTGGCGACGACGACGCACGACCCGTCCTATGAGCTCCTCCTGCACGTCCTCCTCCTGGTCCTGACCCGAGTCGGCACCGATGGTCACGAGAATGTGCGTCATGCCGTCCTCGGCACGCTGGGCACGAGTAGATGTCACCACCTCCGCGCCCAAAAGCACCTGGACGGCCATCGTCCCGAAGAAGTGGGCCGAGCCGGCAATGCTCGTCCCTCGTATGGCTCCTGTGCTGGCCCCGGCAAGCTGGGCAGCTGATGTCCTTGGGCAGCACCTCGCCGAGAACGTCCTCACGATCGTCACGTTCATCTCCTGCTGCCCCTGGTCCTCCTCCAGGCCTCGCTGTCTCCTCACTCTCCTGTGGGTGCTGCGGCGCTCCTGGTCCTTCTCCTGCTGACGCTCCTGATCCTCCTCCTGGCCTCAATGCCTTCTCGCTCTCCTGTGGGTGCTGCGGCGCTCCTGGTCCTCCTCCGCCGGCCGCTCAGGCGATGAAGGCGTCGCGTACCCGCCTTGGGCTGACGCTGCGCTCCCTCCTCGGAGCCTGGCGTTCTCCTCCCTCAGAGCCTCCATCTCCGCGCGCATCCGGCTAAACTCGGCCATCACGTCCGCCACCTCGGTCGGCACGCCGCTGCCCGAGCCCGCGTCCGAGATGTCGAACTGCTCGAGGAAGCGCGGGCGCTGCGGCGCAGGCGCGCTCGGCAGCTCCACAGCGCGCATGCCCCGGATCGCCGAGACGGCACCCGAGGCGCAGCCTGTCATCAACCTGGCCGCCCCTCCCACGGCCCCAGTGGCCACCGCGCCGATGGCTTGCCCTGCGTACTGGCCGCTGGCGCTCATGAAACGCCCAAAGCCCGCGGAGCTCATCGCCATCCTCTGCTGTGCCTGATGGTTCGCGAAGGCGAAGTCCATCTCGTTGGCGCAGCTCGTGCACACCATGCAGCTCATGCGCCTCACCACGCAGTGGCTGTGCACGGGCGCGTGGCACGCCGAGCACGTGACAGTAGGCCCTGTCATCACGTCGGCGCACGCGTGGCACGTGCGAATGATCCACGGGCCGCTCGAAGGGGTCCAAGTAGACGTCGAAGCCTTTGGGCTCATAACCCTTGTGGACATCAGCGGGTGCTGGTCCACGAACGGGTGCGCAGAATACATCATATTGTTGCTCATTGTTCGTATTCCTCCGCAGGCTGTTCTATGCTCACTCCCTGCGCTCTGAGACGTAGGATTTCTAGGGCTATGGCAGGAGATATGGGAAGAGGATTGTGAAGGGAATTATCAAGAGGCAAATTGATTCTAAGCCTAAGGAGGGCGTTGCAAGTGATAGCGAGGCGGAGGAGCAACCGGCGTTGCCGCGCTTCGTTGCTCCTCGCCTCTGTCATGGTTTTCCGCTCGGACGCCGAGCCTTGAGCCAAACAGTGCACATATATAACTGGCGCGGGGTTGGTGTTGCCACTCTCCCCGCGCATGCGAGAGCCACGCAAAACTGCGCCATGCCATGCCTCACGCACCGCACAACACATCACAAACTGATTTAACAGTTTTAACGCTGGCTGCTGTCCCGGCCGCGTGGCCGATAGAAGATTGATTGTAAAGTTATTTTGCTACCTAGCGGGAGGGGGGAAATTCGTTACGTTTCTCCCTCCCCGGCAGATTCGGCCCGTCCAGACCGTTACTCTCCTGAGCCGATTCAACACAGTGGCAACGCTGCACGGAAATAGGCTCAAATCTGTACCGCACGCTCGCTCCATATTTACACTACGAACTTGCTATCCCATTCAGTGGGATTGTGGTTTCGGACACTCCTCTCAACGTGTCCGGCGAACGTGGCCGAAACTACTGCGCAGCATACTTCACAGACACCCCCCACACACGGTTCGGGGGGAGGGGAGTCCCCCTGGTTCTGATCGACGGCGCCGAGTGTTGGGGGGGGAGGCCCACCCCCCGGTTCGAAACGCGCCGCCGAATGTTCCCAAGGCAAGCGCCCGTGAAACGCTGTCTATCAGATGGTGGCCAATGGGTAGGTAGCCTCGATGACGCCCTCTTCGTCCTCGAGCGTTGTGCAGTCCACCTCGGTGCCGAGCGCCGTGCACCCTCTGTGACAGCGGATTGCATGTGGTCCTTCGGCTTCTTCTGCTTGCGCCCGTCCTTGGCCTAACTACGCTGCGCCGGGTAACGGCAGGGCTTCCGCAGGGGGCGCCGCGAGCCTTCGCAGATCGCGCCTGGGACCGCCGCTCGAAGCAGGGCGAGTCGGAGCAGGCCAGCTGCAGTCCTCAGTCTTCGACGCCGTAGCACGCTCGAACAACTGCCAGAGCATACTGGCTGCCTCGCCGTTGTCTCCCCGACGGTGTCCTGGGCGCGACCGAGAGCCCGAGATCTCACATTCGCCTGCGGTTGGGGATCCTACGCGTTGGGCCGATCCCTGTCCCGAGGCTCGTCGCGGTCGTGCCGCGAGTCCTGGCGCCTCCGGCTCGAGCCCCTCGGCTGCGGCGACCGCGACCGGGAACGGTTCGTCTCTTCTGTTCCGCTGCGGCGCAGCGGCAGAGGCCGCTGCTGCGCGCGCGCCAGCCCGCGGCCCCCCCTTGTACACAGCTCTGCGGCTGGTGTACGGGCGCGGGCCCGGGCGGCTGCTGGCTGGCTGGCCGCGGGTGGCGGTACTGGTTGGGCGTGGGCTGGTGAAGATGAAAAAAAGGAGCGCAGCACCTGGCTGAACCTGTCGAAGAATGGCAAGGCCGTCCTCTTCAATGCGCTGTCTTCGGAGCTCGTGGAATGCCGCGTTCGGTTAACAGATTCACGCAGGAATCCGAAAGCCGCTTTTTATTGCATCGAGCACCATTTGTTGTACGGTGGGGGCGTTCGATAAGGTATGTGAACGAGAGGCTCCAGACCTTGGAGGATTGCTTCTCTGATGAGGGCGGCGGTGATATCCGTGGCCAAGCCTCAAGTGGTGCTCCGCCGGCATCCAGACCCTGGATTCCTTTCCTAAGGGTTGCTTATCCTCAATGTCCTCACCGTATCTTCTCCCAGTCCTCCTCGGTTTGTTTTTGCATGCTTCAGCTCCTCGAGTTCGGCTCTGGCCTCCCGGAGCTCCCTGCCATCCAACCAGGCACTCCGCGGGGATCTCTGCCGGATCCCTGGGAGTAGTCATGCTGCTGGTGTTGCCCGAAAGGATGCTTCCACCAACCGCCGTTTTGCCTCTGGTCCCCCATAGTTCCCATCGGAAATAGAAGACATAACATAAACGTTCGGAGCTCTGCACGGATTCCTTGGATCGGCGCTGGGCCCCCCTGGCGGCATCTCTGGCGCCGCTCCTGGCGCGCTCCGCGCGCAATGGAGGGGGGTCCAGCGCCGATCCAAGAAATCCGTGCGGACCTCCGAAAGTTCATGAGCGTGCAGTTGTCATGTCACTTCCAACACCTGGAGTTATTGCTGTGTTTGGAGGGACCAGGTATCTACAGGAATGTGGACACAACGATGTACAGCATCACGTCTCACGGCTCGAGCCAACGCCCACACGGCCCAGATCAGAGGTGTGCTCCAATTTCTGCATACGGATATGAATGTGCACTTGGTCATCCCGATCGTTCCAGCTGCCACACGAAAGCTTATTTAGTAGGAACACACAGACCCCAACGAGATCCCTCAGTAATGTGGTCCGCCGATGCCGGATAACCCACAATGCGATTTCGAAATTCCCGAAAGGGCTAGTCACTAAGATTGACAAGTTAACCACAGCGTACATGCTTTGCATATGATTTACCCTCGAGCCTCGCGGCTAACTGGGAAGGAATGGAGATTGGAATTACCGTGGACGTGGCCCACCGTTGATGGAGTCGTCATCGCGCTTCCCCTGATAAGCCAACGTAGCTATACGACCACCAGTCGGGTTATCAGGATGTTTTGTACGAAGGAGCCATTTCATGACACTTGCGATGACTGTGATGGTGACGATGCTGGTGATGTGCTCGCGAGCTGGTGACAATGCATGATTGCGATACTGGTTAAGATGCATGCTGGATATCATGTAGACATCATCTGGACAACCATCGGGACACAATCGAGAAAGCATCGGGGCACCATCAGGACACCTCCGGGGCACCACGTGGGCACCATCGAAGCACCATCGTGACACCATCGGGGCACCATGTGGACACCATCGGGACACCATGTGAACACCAATGGGACACCATCGGGGCACCAGCAGGACATCATCGAAACATCATCGGGAGGAGCACCTGAAGACACTGCGGAGCAAGTAAATGGTACCATTGGGACACCATGTAGACACCATGTGGACATCATCGGGACACCATGTGGACACCATGTGGACACCATTGAAACACCATCGGGACACTATCGGAAAACCATCGGGGCACCATCGGGACACCATCAAGGCACCATCGGGGCACCAACCAGCGGACCAGCATCGGGACACCATGTGGACATCATCGGGACACCATCGGGGCACAATCGGGACACCATGTGGACAACGTCAGGCCACCATGTTGGCACCACGTGGACACCATCGGGACACCATTTGGACACCATGTGAGACCATGTGGACACCATCGAAAATCCATCGGCACACCATCGGGACACCATCGGGACATGATCGGAACTCCCACCTTTGCAAGACGTATTTGAAAATTATAGATGCGTTTAGATACCATCGCGCCCTGATGCAGGCGAGAAGCATCTCGTATCTGACCATTAGGGCACCACCAGGGCACCATCAGGACACCAATCGGGACTCCAATCAGGACACCACCAGGACACCATCGGGACACCAATCAGGACACCACCAGGACACCATCGGGACACCATCGGAGTACCACCAAGACAACATCGGAACACCACCGGAACACCGCAGGACACCACGGGACAGCACCGGTACACCATCAGGACACCATCGGGATACCAATCCGGAAACCAATCGGGACACCACGAGGACACCATCGGTACACCGCGGGACACCACAGGACACCAGGGGACACCACGGGACACCGTCGGGACACCACGGCGGGACCCCCCGTGGCCACCGCCCGCCACGCGGCCGGGGGGGTCGGACTTCTGGTTTTCGCCGTGCCATAGTTAGAGGATGGTTCATTCCCTTCGCCCGCCCGCGCAGCTTCGCCTCGCAGGCACGCACGACATGAGCCCGACATCAATTTCCCGGTGGGGGGCTCTCCGTTCCACGTCGATCTCACCGCCAACCTCCGATGTTGGGAACGTGTTCAGTAAGGCAGTTGTCATGCACCCGTTGAAGAATGAACAAACAGCTTCTCTTGATATATATGTATATACATATATATTTACATATATATTATATATATATATATTATATATAATATATATATATAATATATATATAATAATATATATATTGGAAGGAAAACAAATGAGCGTGGCGAAGGACCCAATCATATGCAGTCGTGAACGCCGCAATTGTGAATACCATCTTCGCCCGCGCTCCCTATGTGGCCACGGCTTCCCGCTGGAGCCCGACATGCTCAGGAACGCGTTCGTGGCCGTCTTCGCGGGCGCCGACGACGACAAGGACGGCGTCCATCTATCCGAGGAGCAGAAGCAGGAGAGGGCTTTGAGATGCATGAGGGACGAGGCGGCGCTGCACGTCGACAAGGCGGCGTACGACGCACAGGCGCGGTTGTTGAAGCAGCACAACTATGGGGCCACGATCCTCGTGAGGGGTGTGCCGAAATGGCCCGAGGCCGCCATGCGAACCCTGCCACTTGGGCCTTCGGTGGAGCTCCCTATGGGGCCACGATCCTCGTGAGGGGCGCGCCGAAATGCCCCGAGGCCGCCAGGCGAACCCTGCCACTGGCGCCTTCGCTGGAGCTCCCTATTGGGCCACGATCCTGCTGAGAGGTGTGCCAAAATCTCCCGAGGCCGTCACGCGAACCCTGCCACTGGCGCATTCGGTGGAGCTCATATGGAACCACGATCCTCGTGAGCGGCGTGTCGAAATGGCCCGAGGCCGCCATGCGAATTTTGCAACTGGCGCCTTCGGTGGAGCTCCTACGGGGCCACCGTCCTCGTGAGGGGTGTGCCGAAATGGTCCGAGGCCGCCA